TACATACCTTCATAGTCAGTTCCATGAATTTCGGAGAGCTTAGTGAGCTTCCTGCATGTCCTTGTAGCATTTTAACACTCTCTTGAAGAAGTCTTATCATTGCCCTACAAGTAAGAAGTAAAAGATTCATATACTAGAATCACTTTAATTCTCTCGTCTACTTAGTGCTACTCTATTATTACCCTCTGAATGTCACTCTAGCTGTAACTTTGTCACGTACTGAGCGTCTCTCACTCTAATACTCCAGTTTTCTTTTGTACAAGCTTAGCTTCAATCAAGCATAAATTTATATTTGTCTTCTTTGTAGACAGAGTATTTGCATTACAATAGGATCTCTGCTTAATAAAAGAATATATTACATGCTTTTGAGGGTAAGGCTGCACAAACAAGATCTCGAAACTGGAGTATTTGTGGGCGTCAATCAAACTGTACGCCCTTCACGCACTAACTCTTCCAATAACCCGTTGAACGTTRCTTTAACTCGTATAGTCCGAGTAAAAACTACGCGGTTTCCATTCTCCATAGCATCCTCTTCATGCATTTAGCGTTTCCTCGGTACTAGTTAGTAACCGCTCTTTTACTGAGCAAACACAGGAAGCCCGATRTTCTAATAGGACTAGACGCTCAGAGAGCGCTTACATGGGCTTCCTGCAAAAATTTGATAAAAACTTGATATACATTTTACAAGCCTGTGAAGGAGTTTAAATTTCACGTACCCTAAACAGACAGTTGCATCGGTTTTCTGGATCATTTTCACCACAAGTACATTAATAGTCCGTATAATCTGAGGACCATCTTGTAGCTTGGCTATTCTCTCATCTAACACCGATGTAATGAGCGCCTGAGCGAGATGCTTTAGGGTATCACGTGACACTACTTTGGCCAGCGGTTCGTTAGAGAAGAGTGTCAGCATGGCGTTCATAAGGCAGTTGATGAGTCTTGTGACGGTCTGTTCTGATTGGTCGTCGTTGCTAAGGTGTGTTGTTAAGATGATGTTGAGCTGAAGTGAMGCAGCGTTGAGAAACTGAAAAAAAGAAAACGATCGCAAAGGTWTCTGGGTGCAATTGAACCTTTAAGAGAATACAAAAAATACCTGATCAACGTGTTTCACTATCTCGCCCCCAGTCTTATTCCTGATCACGACCTCGAGCTGCACAGTAGCCTGGGTACTGGCTTGAATATCACTGCTGGCRATTTGTGATATGACGTAATTCAAGGCTGCTGGAGCCGAGGTCCTGCTGAATACTCCAAGGTGGGTTGATGTCGGTGTTCTGGGAACAAATCATTATTAACTCATATAATCTCTATTCAATGTAACTCTGATTCTAGAACTCATTAATAATTCATGAGCTATTAGTCCAATGAACATCGAACTATTGGGTCACATGATGGGCTTTTATAACCCGATAAAGTACTGATGTTTTATTAATCAATTCTATATCAGATATATAGAGAACTGAGATGTTCAAGGGCATCAGCGCTTTATCGCCTGCGGCTCGAATCTATATATCCCGATAAAACACGCACTCTAATTCTATAAACAACACTTTAACAGCTGAGCATGCAAAGATAGATACCTGTGAATAATTGTCTGTATGTCCGAAAGAATGTTTCTATCATTGCACGCTTAACGGTCGTCTCGCTTCAATAGGCCTCTTCTGAGACAGTACAAACATCTTTTGTTCGTACTGCCAAATATGRTGTTTATTGTACTGAAGCTAGACCACAATGCACYATGATTTTGTATTTCAGAAAAGGTCTATACAAAGAAATAGGCTACCTTTCAAGATGGCGTATGGAACCGTGAATGAGACTATTCATTGGTATGTACCGCTGTACAGTGTTTATTTATAACGCATACTCACTTTGTGGTTGGTCTTTGWATAGGTTTACTTATTAATTCATCTACCGACGACTCGTCATGTGAWACAAGGCTGGGWAGAGCAAAGTCATGATCGTGGTCTGTTTCTATGACGTCGTAGTCRATCTGRAAYTCACGAGTGATGCTYTCTTTCTTCGTAACCACAGGGGCGGTGGCTGGCCTTTAAAAAAAGTTATATCTTATCTTCACTCTGATTTATTTACTTGTTAAATCCAGGTTTGTGTTCTTTTTTCACTACAACATTCCAGGACTTTTCAAGTACTTCTTCAACACAATGTGATTTTACAAGTACTAAATTTCAAGATTTTGTTTTTCTATGTTTGCGATCGTTTCATTTGGCGATTTTAAAAATAGACACATTTCAATCCAAAAATAAAAAGCAACATGTCAATTTGATCAAATTCAAGGAGTTGTCAAGGAGTTTTAGCGATTTTTCCAATTTTTATGGGCTTTTCAAGCGCCTTGTCTTGTAACGTTGCCGTTCAAGTTTAGCGTCGATGTTGCTCGTTTTACACCCTGGCTAAGCACTGGTATCTAGTCACTCAACAATTAGCTCAAAGAAACGAGACACACTGAAGCTTTAAACTTATGTGGAATTTTTTTCTCGGCCTTTTGATACTTGTTTATACACTTAGGCTACGGAGAAGTGGTATTCCTCATAAAAGTTTTTGCTCTTTTGAAGGAGATATTGTAATATTCGACCTTAAAATCGACTGTAGAAACGAATTATGAATGCAAATTTCAAGTCACCTCATTGACCATAAATGAAAACTCTAAAACACGACCGCATTGAATGCTGTTGGACCATGACCTTGGAGAACCCCTCTTTCCAAATAATGTTAGGACCATTTTCAGTCCAACCGTTATTGAACTACTGACAGAATATTACATCGCAGGTGAATATCTTACCTTGGTGGAGGTTTGGYTTGTTTCTTATCGTTATCGCTAGACCCTCGGGCTTTTATAACTGGTTTAGGYTCTTCACTGCCTGCAGTGGTAGCTGGTCTATTCTTAGACGATCGCTTGATTCGTTCTTCAAGATAGCCCTGATCCTTGTCATTTAACTAGAGAAACAACAATGATAATTAACAATTAGACCTAGAGGTCGAGTGCACTACGAGCTAATAGCCCATGAGGTCGAGTCCGCAAAATAAGACCTCTTGCGTTTCYGCTTGCATCTGCGCTTGCTCTTGCGCCGCAAGTGTAAACCACGATTAAGATTCAAACGTACCCTTCCAACGTATTTATGGACAGTCTCTCCAATAAGGAAGTAAGCCTCTACAACTGTGTTGAGTGCAGCGTTACGAACACCATTGTCACGRTCACCAATGTGTGTTGCTATGTTTGCTATAGCCTTAGGGGGGGTGGGTTGACATACATTCATACCATACACTTGGATAAGACAGCCTAATTCTTCTAAACACTCTGCAAGAAATGAAACAAGTCGTTAGAAAATACACAGTGAAAATAGGGWTTCTATTTCGTCACCACTGCCACGGGGATCCCATGAGATTGTAGTACGCATGCGCACGAATTTTTGAAGCTCGAGTGTGAKTGCCTTTGTAGACTACAAAAGCAAACTACTAACACATGGTTTGGGTAACGACACCTAGAAGGTATAGATGGGAAAGACATGTGGTCCCCTTG